GATCTATACTGGACATACAACACTTGTTCTATAGTGGTATGACTGCATTAGCTCTAAACTGGACAGACTGCACTTGTTCTATACTGAATTGACAACACTGGCTTTATACTGGTCATACAACACTTGTTCTTTACTGGTATGACTGCACTGGCTCTATACTGGACATACAACACTTGCTCTATACTGGATTGACTGCACTGGCACAATACTGAATAAACTGCCTGGCTCTGTATTGGAACCCTGCACTGGCACTTAAATGGATTGACTGCAATGGATCTATATTGCATAGACTGCCCTGCCTCTATACTGTACGGATACTAGAGATTACAGTGGTTCTATACTGTACATACTACAGTGGCTCTATACTGTACATACTACAGTGGCTGTATACTGTACATACTACAGTGGCTCTATACTGGACAGACTACTGTGGCTGTATACTGTACATACTACAGTGTCTGTATACTGTACATACTACAGTGGTTGTATACTGTACATACTACAGTGGCTGTATACTGAACATACTACAGTGGCTCTATACTGTACAGACTACAGTGGCTCTATACTGAACATACTACAGTGGCTCTATACTGAACATACTACAGTGGCTGTATACTGAACATACTACAGTGGCTCTATACTGAACAAACTACAGTGGCTCTATACTGGACAGACTACAGTGGCTCTATACTGGACATACTACAGTGGCTCTATACTGGACAGACTACAGTGGCTCTATACTGGACAGACTACAGTGGCTCTATACTGGACAGACTACAGTGGCTCTATACTGGACAGACTACAGTGGCTCTATACTGGACAGACTACAGTGGCTGTATACTGGACAGACTACAGTGGCTCTATACTGGACAGACTACAGTGGCTCTATACTGGACAGACTACAGTGGCTCTATACTGGACAGACTACAGTGGCTGTATACTGTACAGACTACAGTGGCTGTATACTGTACATACTACAGTGGCTCTATACTGGACAGACTACAGTGGCTCTATACTGTACATACCACAGTGGCTCTATACTGGATAGACTACAGTGGCTCTATACTTGAATGAATATTCATTTTAATTGAATTATATAGAATTACTTTTGAAAGTCTTAAGAATGCCACTCATCATATTTTTCGTTTTATTTTTCTGTTCAACCTTATGCTCTCAAATGATTTTACAATCATATTTTACATCACATAATAAAATATACTTAATAAAAAAACAGGAATATAGATCAACAAGGCAAAATCAACGTTCAGGACGCAGATCCCCCCGCCATTTTCCACACCCTTGACACATTCAAGAAAGGCACCCAGAAGCCACCAAACCAAAACCGGGAGTGGACATAATGGCGGCGACAGGAGAGGGACACGTAATATGCGAAATAACAAAAACCAAAACGGGCCTTTATGGGAATTAAAGGGGTAAGAACTGTAAGGATGAAAAAGGGGAAACCAAAACTCATATACTCGTACATAAATAGGAATAACTGACTTTTCAAACATCCCTATTTTGAAAGCCTGTTTTTTTCCATGTTATATCCAAGTAAGGAAAAACACCAACCCCCTTGACCAGAACATTTGCGAAAAAGTAAATATAATATTCATCCTACCAATCATGATAATTGCATTTCTAGGTTATTTTTATCGTTCTTCTTCCTGGTGCAGAAATAAAATTAGTTTACTTTCTTCTTGCTTAAAGTAATTTATAAACGACTTGCCATGTAACAATTTAACAATGCACTTCATTCACACCATAAAAGGGATTATTTTCACAGTTATAAGATTTTACCAATTAACTTTAGGCGTTTGCAAATTGTGATATTTCTTTTTTCATCCAATACTTACGGTGGCACAAAGGTGACATGTATGTGTTTTTATTTATCTCGTGCGGACGAGATACTTAATCGTGGCCACGAGATAGTTAAGTCGTTGGAACGAGATACTATGTCGTGGCCACGAGATACTATGTCGTGGCCACGAGTTACTATGTCGTGGCCACGAGTAACAAAGTCGTGGGAACGAGATAACTAAGTCGTGCGCTCGAGATAATCAACCAATCAGATTACACTACGAATTTTTTAAACTTATGTAATATGTACATGTAAGATGCACTTAAAAATAAACAAAACGATATGTTATGACTATGACCGTCCTCGTATTTCTTTACAGAAAATTGTGAAAAGCAGTATAACATAGATATGTTTATCTTCTCGGATTATATAGAGATTATGTATAGTGTCTATCAATGACAATAAGTCATATTTTAATACAGCATATCTGTTTAATACATCATATAACTTCCTGTCAAAATGAATGCTTTTAATTTCAACCATTTCAATGGCCTAGTAGAAAGAGTTTTAGCCTCTCACTCATGTGGATCAGAGCTCAAATATCATGTATGCCATAGATAACGACAATGCGACAGTACAAAGACACGATTGTATGACAATGTAACAGTAAGAAGCCACATTTGAAGTATTCCTTACAAAGGTTTTGTCTTTTTTGTTGTTTTGTCCAAATATGAATTAAATCTATGGTTACGCCACTTTAATTGAAATTCAATCATTTGACCTTAACAAAAAATAATGAAAACCTTGGAATTACCCATGATCTTGTTTCTCCATGTTAATGCGTGGCCTTTCATGTATTTCTTGAATTACCTGTTATCTTGGCAACGGGGGACGTATCAAAATTGCGTAAAATCACTAATTTGCATTGTTTTTTTCTTCCTTCAAAGTGTTGCAACTTCTCAATGGATTGAGATGGGGTAAAAGGCTTTTCAGCGTTGGTTACACGTTATCTTACGATCGACCTGAGGTCATTTTTAGCAATTTACATGTCCAAAATTTTCTTGGCGATGAGGGGGGTTGCCGCCCCCTTCAAACCCCCGAAACACAAGGGGGCACATCTCCCTTCTCGCAACCCCCTGATGTTTCTTGTGGATAGGGGGCGGCGCCGAAAAAACGATCACTTTTTACAACATTTCCCAAACGAAACACGGTGGTTTGGGCCTTAATTAGGTATTTTTTTACTGTTTGAGGGCCCAATGTTAGAAATTCAAACTTTTCAGGCTTTTTTACCTCAGTGGAGTTCCTTAAAATGCACCAGTAACAAACATTTATATTTTTCATCGGTAAGTTTTTTTTACTGTCATATGTTGACAACGATGGAGAAGACATACAACTGAATAACGGAACAACAAAAACTCAATACAATATTTATAATTTTATTTACAAGAAAATGAAATGCAGAATTTCTTATAGTTATAATATAAACTACGAAGATACGTTACCATAAAAAATTTCAATCAATACTTATATATAAAAGTTAAAACATTCGTTTGATTAAAAGTGGCTTCCATCCAAAAATCAAGGATCGCAGGTCCTTGTTGCTCGTCAATACTCATCCAGGGCACAAGGGTGTAGACTCGCGGTTTGCCCTTTCACGCCGACATATTGGTTAGTAAAATTAAAGACGCTCCAATAGATTGACACACCTGAACATCTTACGCTGAAGCAATTTGCTTTAAGTATAAAGAACTATATGGAAAACCATAACGGGTAAAAAAAACAACATGTTTCATACATATTAGTATATAATATAACACTTAGGTATCTACTACGGTGATACACAAACACAATATAAAAATGCTTCTTTAGAGACATCAATTGAATACACCGCTTCGTTTATTTCATTATATAATAATGACACTTAATTTCACACATTCGGTCATAATTATCTATTAAACTAATACAGAAAACTGAATTATCAATTCAACATTAAATAATTATATGCAATAAGCAAACAAAGCTACGTCGAATTCGTTTGTAAATTTGTATACTTTAAACATACATTTCCTCATCGAAAATACAAAATAAAGTTTTAAATTTTACCTACAGGTTAGCGTATATTAGTTAGTATATTATTATACAAAACTAACTCATTAAAGCGGCTGCGCAATTCTTGACTTATTCAATTGGTTAGCTTACTTACGAGGGGTGTCCCAGAATTACGTGGACTTTTGCTATAACTTTTTTTATTTTTTAATGCATTTTTTAGCAAATTTGTACACAATACCTTTAACATATCCTTAATGAATATGTCCATTATTTTTAAATTTCTAACATTGCTTCTCTATATTTTACGTCGCTATAGTAACGCAGTATGCGCAGGGCGGGGCAGTCCAATATTTTGTATTAATAAGTTGTCTTTACTTTCGTATATCTTGCGTATTTATACGTAAAAAATGGCGCGACGTCGTAAGCATATGCAGTGACATCATATGAACGTTCGTTTGAAATTTTGACGTCATAGCTGTTTCCGTTATTGTTTACCAGCGGACAACTGACAACCGCTGCTCTTGGATAGATAACAAAAAATGACGTCCACGGATTACGCGGAACATCGGACTATCATCAAGTTTTGTGTTAATCTTGGGAAGACGCCAACAAAGACGCAGGAAATGTTGGAGACTGCAAAAGTGAGACCTCCTGTTTGTCGATCACTCGTTTTCAAGTGGCATAAGCGTTTTCGAGACTGCCGGGGGGACATTGAAGACGACAAGGGTCGTGGGAGAAAGTCAACGTTGACTGCAGCGTCAATTAAGGAAGTCAAGGACGTCATATATCGGGACAGGCGTTACACCAAGGTCAATGCTGAGTACTATTCAAGGGTAAGCAATAATTTTGTGTTTAAAAAAAATGATTTTTAAAAATTAAGCTAATCACAATTTATTATTTTAAACGCAATTGATCCGCTTCAGCTTTTAAGAAAGTGAACTCAAACTGCTATAGTAAGCAGTGCGCATGAGGTTATTTCCCTTGTTAACGCACATTGTCTTTGCGTACAAAATAAACTCCACAATAATAATGATAATAATAATAATAATAATAATAATGATAATAATAAAAAAAATAATAATAATAATAATAATAATAAAAATAATAATGATAAATGATAATAATAATAATAATAATAATAAGGGACGGAAGTTCGATTCCTTCCAGGAACTCTCGTTCGCAATGCAGAAAGTGGTGGCTGATTTCGACCAGGAGTGGTACAGGGCGGTGTACGACCAGTGGATATATCGACATCATAGATGTATTGAGTTAGGCGGCGACTATGTTGAGAAAAACTGACATTCGACGCCACGCATTTATTAATAACTAGCGACGCCACCGGAATGACGTCGTAACGTCGGAATGGACTGCCCCGCACCCGCTACCCCTTGTCTCATTACCCTGCCCACAGACACTGATCCAGTTGCCGGACAACTTTGAAATTTTTTGTACTAATGCAATAAAGTTGCATTTTGTTCATGTTAATTTTGTTTGTTTTTATTTTTAGTAGTTTTTGAGTTACAGCAAAAGTCCACGTAATTCTGGGACACCCCTCGTATTAACACTTACCAATTTAGTGGTTTGAATTGTTTTTATAAACAGTTGATTTACTTGCCCAATAAAAAGAAGTCGATTTTTCCAGAGTAATGGTTATGTGTAATTTAAATGTACTGAAAACATGCTAAATTTATAATTTGAAACACCACAATTAGAAATAAATGCTAAAAATGTATGAAAAATCGAATAAATTACTTCTGCCTACTTTGAATAAGTCTTACAACAATAAAATAAAACAGTCATAATACAAAATTACCGAAAATCAATAAGAATCAGAAACCGTGGCAAGATTTTAAAAAAGACAATGTCAATGTCACGAAACCTGTGTTTTCAATAATAACCATGCTACAAACTTTCATTCCAAATATATTTGTTATATTACAAATTTGATTACAATATTCATTTATTTATATGTTAATCATAGTTTCATCTATACATATAAACATAGACATATATAAATATACAATACAAACAAAAAATACATGTACAGCTATTTTAATTATAATTACAGGACCGTACTTCTAAAGGTGACAACTCCCCAGCCCATAACGCAGAAGTACACTGTTTTTTATGCACATAAGATTTATCTCCCTTAGCTACACACATTCATTTCCTACACAACAAAATACTTATATTTCACTTTTATATACATAAAATACAGGTAAAATCACTTAAAGTATCCTTGTTTATCATGTTTAAACTTAAAATGAGATGTAAAAGGATTGAAGTATAATAAATTGAAGTATAATAAAATGCCAAAATGCTCCACAGTATAAAACATGGATGTAAAATAATGGTGTGTGATTGATCAGATCAGAGTACATAAAGATTGACAAGGAAACTTTAGGCACATACTAAAACATTAATATCATTAAAACAATATACTACAGGGGTACTATAAACACTAGGACAATATATCACATATACAAGACAGGGTATAATATGATCACTAATGATATAAAACATTTTTTCTATTATTTACTAGGGTGTTGTAGCCTTGATAACCTTATCAATATCAGTTAAATTGTCAAAACCATTCCAAAGTGTGTTTACCGATTGAAGTAATTCTAATCTAATTGAATAATAAAGAGGGTAATGTAAAAATACATGTGCTTCATACTCAAAGATATTCTTACAATGGAAGCAGAGTCTTTGTTCTACTTGTAGTCCATTATATCTTCCTAGTACAATACCTATTGGAGCTGTCCTACTTCTAAATTTTGCCAAGGCACCACTGCAAGATCTATTATAAACAACTCTAACAAAATGTTCTACTTCAAAATTAGCTTTTAAAGTTTTGTACAATATATTGTTTCTAGCTCCAGTTATTGACCAAAGCCATTTTTAAATAAAAGTAAGTGTGATAGTGACCTTGATCCTGGCGCAGGGGGAGGGGGCACACAAGTGAGGTCTTCATATTAGCTTGCTACATACCAATTCGTTTACAATTTGTCAGTCTTAAGTCTAGCAGCTTCAGTTTGGAAAGCATACATAGTAATTTTTATCATAATACGTACAATAAACGTCTAACAACGTATTGCTGTACAAGAGTATAAAAATTAAGATAAAATCGACATCATACCTCACCATAGAACAAAAAACAACTGAAATACAAAAATAATCCACGCTCTTTTACCTTTTAACCCACTCATTTTATCTACAGTATAAAAACTTTTAAGTCATGATATATAAAAATATCAATCATATAAAGACTTCTTTTAATTCTTGTATATATTCAATATATAGGATTTAATAGCCATAGGCAATGTATCTGAAAAAATGTAATACTAGTAGTAAAACGATACATTTAGTAAATTGTTCTTTTCAAAATTCGCATCCAGACAATTTGGAATAATCTTCACTTTTCGTGTGCTTCAATTTGTAATAACCAACACTCTGATCACTGTCAGCAAATTTAACATAACCATCAGCATCTCTAGGTTGTTCAACATCTGTGACCTGATTTATGTAATCAGCAACCTCAGCCACGGTGTTTTCTTTAATTTCGTCGTAAACAGCCTCGTTAAAGTGTCCTCCTTTTATTTCTTTTGGTACGCTTTCAGCTTCCGTAGTGCCTTTGCACAAATCCCCGTTACCACTTTTACTAAAATGAAAGATTTGTTACATAATAAATTGTTCCAGTGAATAGGTAAACATCATTATGTTGTGTCATTTATAAATAATTATAGAAATATCAATAGTTAAAGGGAGCTTTTGATCTTTTTAAATAAATTATGAGCGGTAAAATTACTTACAGTACATTCGAAGCGTCCGATTCTGAAAGATAAATTATGTGTTATTACAAGAAATAAATTATCTACAGATATGGTATCAACTATTTGCATATATTTTGTTTTGGACTTATTCTTAGGAATGTATAACAATAAGATTTATAAATTACAATGTTGATGGTCACCTGATATAAAAGACATGTGCTGTATTTTTTTGAATATCCATATGGCAAAACAATTAAAGGCAATTCTTTATTCTTTGAACTTGGTGCATAAAATTATTCGCTTGAATCATATTGTCTTTAACATTTAAATGCAATTCATAAAAAAGAGAATTTAAATAAGAGGACAGTTTATTTTTCTATGCATATTTTTTAGTGTTAAATGACAACTTACTAGTCTTTTTACTAGTCTGTTTATGTTCTTTTCTATACCTTAAACAGCAACATACAGTAGCGAAAACAACAAATGATAAAACGCAAATTGAAGATATAAGTACAACTATCAATGTCGTTTGATCCTCCCCAATTTCTGGAAACACAAAAAAGTTCTATTTAAACATTACTCCTGTAGTGAAAATCATTTCAAACATTTTTGACTTAAACCAGTAAGAATTAGTATTTCCCAGGGTCATGAATTTGTATGAAAATTATATCAATAAAATCTTTAAAGTTTGAATAGTTTGTATATGTTGTTATTTCCATACCATTCTGACATCTATATCCCTCGTATCCCTGATCACAATAACACACGAATCCATTGATTTCGTTTACACACGCACCATTGTTCTCACATGGCTGAGACAAACATTCGTCTATATCTATATAAAAATCGAAAACCTTTTTATCAGAAATGCTTTTAATATAATCATTTATATAAGAAGTGACTTGCAATTAAACTTTTGTCATAAAGTATCAAGGACATCCTAAGATGAAATTGCGCATTCAAGAACATCTAACTTCACCATGAAATCATTAATATTTAATTATTGAAATTTAAATGTAAAGAACGCTGAGCAATGAACGTAGAAAATAATCTCTTAAAATCTAAAACAATGTTTTCTCTAATACATAATTGAGTTATAATAGGGGAGTATTTTATTCAGGGCTCGAGTGAATTTTTAAAGGATAGGATGTTAAAAGGTGCTGTAGCGCACGCCGAGTGTGGTCCGATCTAGTTATATGTACGAGAGGCAAATTCACGTTCCAGACTATAAACCTATTTAAACCATATATTCAACCATAACGTAAATGGGTTTTCACCAGAAAAATCCCTTCATAATTATAAAACAGCATTTTATGTCGGGGGCCCTTTTATATGCATAAATAATATTAAAAAAAAAGAAGTATAAATAATATATTTAATACATTTAAAAAAACAAATATGGGGAGCCAAAGTACAAATATGTGCTTAAAGAGTAAATTGTATGCATCCCGAAGATAACATATAAAACACACTGGAATTTTTCAATTATGACATCCAACTCTTAATGTAATTACTAGAATAGGAAAATAATAATCTTTTTCAAAATTTTTTGCATTTTTCCCATGTTTTATTTTTATTGGTAATGTATTGTACTTAGTTCATTCAGATTTTTTTTATGAAGGTATGAATTTATAAAAGCATTCCCGAATCCGTTCCTTGAACCAGTATATACTGTGCAATGATTATGAAAAGTCTAAGTTACTGTCAAAGCCCTTTAGCACCGGCTTTAGCAGAATGCAACATACACACATAAAAATGTGAAAAGTTTAATTTTGGAACATTTGCAGATGTGTTCATACGGCAGTTAGAAATGAATCTTTAATGTGACAGGTTGGTACAATTCCATGAGCCTGCAATTTTCATGAATTTTGTTGTTGTTTTCATTGCTTCTGAATGATCACCCCTTTTCCAGATTTTTATTTAAACCAGTTTCCAGATTTTTATTTAAAACAGGTGTCAAGTGCCGTGCGGCTGTACAATGTCGACCAGTATTTCACATTAGTGCTGTTACATTTGTTCTTCATTCATTGTTCTGAAGATTGAATAACGCTTAAGCTGGTCTTAGGGGGCTAAGATCAAGATGATGTTGCATTTTTCAATTACCCTCATGAACAGTCTCAATCAAACCGAGTCTGCCATTTTCATGTATTTTTTTGTGGTTTTTAATGCTTCCCATGGATCACACCTTTAACAGATCTTCAAAAATCGATGTCAATTAAACAGGTCTATGGAAAACGTCGAAGAAAATGCTTTTGAAAAGCTTGATATGCCCCATTACCAAGTATGTGTGAGTTTAATTTTCAAAATTTAAGAAAGCTTTAAATCCATAACATTTATATCTTTGTTCTTTTGACAAATGGGTCTATAATGTATTTTTTATTCGTACATGTATTTTAAGTTCTCAAGGTATAAAAAGCACAGCGCTAAGATATTTACACAGATAATGGTAATCAAGAACAATATGTCTCTATAACACAAATAATGATATTTTCTTAATGTATTATCTAATCATACCAATTTGACACCTTTCTCCACCATATCCTTGGACGCACGAACACGTGTATCTATTTGAAGAATCTGTACAATTACCATTGCTATTGCATGGGTCCGACAAACATTCGTCTATGTCTTTTGTCAATAAAGTTAAAAAGCTTGTTCACTGCATAGAATATTAAGGATGCCCATTTTTTGATATTTTATCGATTAATTGTGATACAAGTATCCCAAACATAAACATAGACAGTGGTCATGACGTGCTGGTGATATTGATGTTATTTTAATTAAGTTTATTAAACTTGTACGTTTAAAAAACTTATTTAAATGGAAAGACCAGCAATATTCAAAATTAATTAATTGATCGTCATCGTCATTTTTAAAATCAGGTATACCTTTCGCACAGTTATCGCCGTTATATCCCTCTGTACACATACATTTGTAGCCAGCAGGAGAATTAATACAAGTGCTGTTATTATCACACGGTTGTTCTTGACATATGTCGTACTCCAAATCTTAAATGTTGAAGATATGATTATTGTTGTATTAAATATCATATTCATGTACCCCATCTGATAAATCGTAAATGTCATTACGTGGTATTTACAACAGCTGCATTGTAATTTCATCACTTTTCTATTGCAGAATAATGGTTAGTTTTCTAATTCTTTTACAAATGCATTAAAGTTTTCATGTCTTACGGACGTCTGTTTTCAGAAGATAAACAGGAAGATAATTTTAGTTGCTTTTCGGGAAGATTATGATAATCTCATTGGGCCTAAAAATCAAATGAGAAAATCTAACCTCATTGCAAATTAAACTAAAACGCATTCAAAATGTATACTGTACCTATATCACAGTTGATACCACTCCATCTTTCAGTACAATTACAGGTGTAGGACCTGTCACCATCAACGCATGTACCATTATTCAAACAGGGATTTGATTGACATTGGTCCGTATCTGTGAACATGAAATAAAAAAGAGAGAAATAAGAATCCCTAAAGAAAGCCCAACACGGCAAGTAGAAAATGTTGCAGGCTCGGTTTGATTGAGCCTGTTCATGGACGGTACTGTCAAGTGCAAACTACCGTCCACGCTCCCTAGCACCGGCTTAAGCGGAATTCAACATTTAATATGAACTGGTAAAATTTAGAATTTTGAAACATCCGCAGATGTGTTTATATGGCGGTTATCATGGAACCTTCAATGTGACACGTTAGTGCCATTCCATGAAAAGCGGCATATGATCCCCAAGTAAAAGAAATGCATGTGCCCTAAACGAGAAAACAATTGGCGGAAATAAATAAAATGGAATTTTGAGAGGGGATCTGAGGTTATGAAGCCTGCATATCACAGATATGACGTCAAAAGACAAATTAAAAAAGCAGACAACATATCCTAAGGGTGATTTAACAGTATTCAAGTTAAGACCCAACAAGAAAGAGATAGAAAGAACTAAAATAGCACAAGCACAACAATTATGTCGTGCTGGATCGGAAATATAACATCCCTGACCATTTTAGCCACATTTACAATTTTACAATTGAATAGACAGAGTAGTAAAAACAAGTTTTTACTATATTTATATAATCATGTAAACAATCAACTAATAAATAATGAAAATTTTGCAAAACCTTAAATAAACATCGTATCAATCAAAAAAATGCAATTTCTTACGAAGCACATGGAATAATGTTTAATATGTTGTTATTTTTGATTGTTCAAAATGAATGTTTTTGTATTTTGAAAAATATTGAAAATTATTTCAACAAAGTCGACATGAAATGTCTTATCTATTTTTGAAAAAATTATGCAAATATATATGGTGATCGAAACAAACCATAGAAAATTGCATTGCAAGTAATTGTGTCAGTATGTAATACATTCATCTGAATGTTGTCTATTCTGAGTGAAAACGGCAAAAGAATGCATTGGAATTATTTAAATGTATCGTCTTGTAAAATAAATAAAAGCTACTATAAGTAGAAATGCAAAATACAATAGAAAAGATGGTTACCTTAAAGAACGCCCAAACATTAAATCACTCTGCACAATTACATGTACTATTCTTTTATCACAAATTTAGAAATACCCTGTTTTATTTAAATGACTTTAATTGATTAAACTTGTTGTGAAAGCTTACCTTCGCACTTTACAGCTAAATTCTTAGCAGGTGACTGAAAGCATGAATCATATCCACCTTTTGTGTATGAACACTCCGTTAAATTCATTTCGTCCCCATGGCAATACAGATTTGACATCCAATAATGCTTATTTTCGTTTGCAAAATCATAAAATATTTCGGAAACACCCCTGTATAATATATTATAATACAAATTAAAGAAAAGCGACATGCTTAACAGCTAATACTCCATAAATTTACATGTGAACTCAATGTGTTAATTAGACGTCAGAAGTAACGTTGCTATCAAAAGGCGAGGTAAGACGTAACATAGATTATCTCATAAATATACACTGAACAATTAAGGAACCTATCCTGCATTTATGTGCAGATATACACAAATATAAAAATCAGGATTAAAGTAGATTTATATGTAATGAAAGAGTATTCTATTGCGATTCCTAGTGAAAAAATACATTGCTGGCGGTTTATCAAAAAGTAGTTAAATGGTAGCTAAAATACTGAAGAGGTCGCCAAACAAAATCACAAATTAATGTCGGGTATGACAGCCCTCAGCATGATGTACTGCCTGGCATCGTTGGTGCATAGAACGGTTCAGTGTATTGATTTCGGCTTGTGGATGTTGTTCGATTCCCGAATTAAGGCTTGTCTTAGCTGAATGACGTATGACGGGCGAATAGTACGGCGTCTAACACGCTGGTAAAAATCATCCCAAAGGTGTTCAATGGGATTAAGATCAGGGCTTTGGCAGGCCAGTCGTTAATAAATGCAATGTAAATCGCCCTGAGGAAATTCACAGTGCCCCTAGCTGTATGGCTTTTGACATTCTCATGTTGAAAAATAGTGATATTTGCATTACATGTATTTTGAAACAGTGGGATAACATGCATCGTAAGAATTTTGATATCGGGCATTCATATTCCCTTCGATAACGACGAGATTACTGTACTGCAAAAGCCATGTGCAATGCCTGCCATGACAGTCATATGCGTTTCGGTGTTGTGACGCTTTTGACGCTTTGGTGGGAATGTAATGCATCGGTGATACATTCATCAATCTTTTCAATAAAACCACTTTTTTCTTGATCATTGATTATTTCTCCATACATCTGTTGAATATACGTGTCTCTACCTTCCTAAAACCTCTCAAAGGGGTCATCTGGGGATGAATGTTCAATAAAATTGTAGATGTTTCTTCAGTGGGAACCAAAGGTTGTAAAGGTGTGGACGCTGCAAGTCTTGAAACTGGAAGTTGGTGGTATATGGACGCTGAAATTTCGGAAACCGGGAGTGAACCGGATAAAAGAAATCTAAGTCTTGACTGAACTGCAGTTGGACCTTTCCCTCGGACTACCTTATCTTGAACAATTTTCTAATATGAATATGTTCCAATCAGTAATGATTTCTCAAAATAACTGGATCAGCTTTAAACCATATTCGTCTGTAATAAGATGAATTATATATTTTCTCATGTGTCGTGCCCTCGGGCTAGTATCACCAAATGATGCTAAATGAACGACTCACTCACGGTCTATTCAATATATAGTTTCTCTACTGAGCGTTTTCCCAAAATTGCAGTCTCGTTTGGATTTTGTCTGGTTCCTATTAAGAAAATGAAATATTTAAGTTTCATTATCATTAACATTAATAGAAATACCTGCTACCATGAAATAAATTTCCTTAAATATAGCTGTCTTTAATTTTTGTAATTCCCAGTTTACACTACGATGTTCCCGTGCCGCATTTTGCTTCATTACGCCTGGTAACTTCTCTAAAATTATTCGTATTAATAAGCTACCTTAAGATTCCTGTGAGTGTCCAAGTGATTCCTAACCTCTAATAAAAGTTTCCATTTTATTACAAAATATTGTTAGCTTACTACATTGTAGCTTTGTCTTTGAAGTTCAAGGAAGGACTGCATGTATTTATGAACTATCTTCTGTAGAGCTCTTTGAAAAGACTCGCTGCGCATTCGTCAAAGGAAACCAGTCTATATACCGTGCTGCTACACCTTGAACCAAAGTTTGCAAGTAGTTGAACTTTTGAACGTCGGATAATGTAGAATTGACATGAATAACAGTCCTAGAAAGTCTGTCAGTTGGTTAGATCTTCGTCAAAAATAATGTGTGGTAAGTTTTAGGAATTTCTGTTGCGCAAATGTACTCGTATGTCGCGTCTGTTGCGGTACCATGTGTTATCTTCTAGATCAACGGAACTATTGTTTGTAAAGTCTTGAGTCTGCTTCTTGAATTTCTTTGGATGGGTTGAGTCAGGTTGCTTCCACTGCATGCTCTGTATTTTCTATTCTGGATCTGGATTCTGGATCGAAGTGATGGACCTATGTTTCATCCTGAGTTACGATCTGGTAGATAAAATCAGGTTCATCCTCGTAGCGAGACAAAAGATATCTTGGAATGCCAAGCCGTCTGGTCGTCAGTCAACTGTCTGGAGACCCATCTAGTGGAAACCTTTGACATCAGTCAGAATTGCATGAACTGAACCAAAGCTTATACTAGCTTCCCTAGCAACGCTTTAATACTCCTGTCGTACATAACCAGATCGTGCACAGCTTCGACAGTTTCATCGTTGGTGGCCTCATTTGGCCGCCCAGGCCGCTCATCATCTCCAATGCTCTCATTGTCCCTTTTAAATTCACCAGCCCATTTTTTCACTGTGCTTTAGAAAGGGGACTCCTTCCCAAGTGTATCCATGTCTTCATGGATTTCCTTCGGGGACATCCCTTTCTTATAGAGGTACTTAATGACAACTCCGACTTCAACTTTCTGCATTTGGTCTAAATGACACACCCCTCTACTGAACAAAGTGTGTTTTATGTTACTAAATCTGTGTAAAAACTTTATTAAAATCTAAGAAACAATTAAACGGTTAAATGTGATTGACGTTTACACACCGATATATATGACTCTTTATAGATGTATTTGCATTATTTCGACAACATGAACAATAATACATTATGTTACTACTTTGAAAAAAAAGAAAAAACAACAAAAAATAAACAAACAAACAGCAATCACGCTAGAATATCATAGTTTCCAACTGGATATACCAGCATTATATATCATGTTTACATCGTACAAAAAATCTTTGAATCTTAAGCTGTATGATAAAGGTATGAATTTTATTATTAGCTTTCACATATTTTTCAGTTATTTCGTTTGATTCATTGAACAGTCATGTGTTTTTAAAAAGGAAACAAAAGTGAAAACAAAATTGTAATCTTTCTCAACCGTGCCTTTTTCATTAACCCCCATGAACAGACTCATTCAAACCAAATCTGCATTTTTCATGTAATTTTGTGATTAATGCTTCCGAGAGATTACACTATATCTAGATTTATTTCCGTAAAAAGATGTAGGAACTCAACAGATCATATTATGTGCCGTTATTGTCAATTAAAAGAAAATATATAAAAAGGCAGATTCCCGTAAAATTCAAAGTTGTTTCAATTGGGTGATGCTCCGGTTAATTTACATCAGATTTAGGATATGGGGCATCCTATTTTTTAATGATTGAGTATACATGCTTTGGAGTGTATGAATTCCTGGAAAATTAGGGAAACCAAGTTTAACTGAAACGTTTTTTTTTCAAACTTCAGATTTTACACACTGCACTGGCATTGTACATTAATTCAATGATAAAATTATATACAATAATCAAGTTAAACGTATAAGCGCAGAATACTTGCAAATACGTAAAAAGGGCATTTGTTAAAAGACATACACGTACTGAACATTATAAAAATTAAACGAAGGATATCGAATGCAAATTAATAAAGAACAGACCGGAATAATGCTACGGAAGTAGAACTGATATATGAACGAGAGCTGTCCGATATATTTGTGGATTTTTATCGTAGAAATGTTAAGAATAGATAATTTCCTATTAGACATAAAAACAACACATTGCACCAGACTCGATAATTTTCATTCAAAAATATCAATACATAAAATAGTTACGTACATTTAACTAACACACACCATGAAACATGTCTTTCCGTGCAGCAAATATGAATCAACGTTTATCTCATTCATAAGTCAAGAGAACGTCGCTCTTTCTTAACATATTCGCTACTTTTGCTAACGCATTTCTTATGTCTATACACACATTTATTGAACGTGAATATGCACCACTCACGGGAAATGCTCTAGTAGCATCACTGGTGGCGCGGCGTAACTATTGACCCCATTGAATTTCCTGCCGCGAATACAGACTTTGATTTTCGGAAATACCCGGCAGTCCATAAGAGCAAGATCAAGAAAATATGGAGGATATTCCGACACTTCAAATCATCGCAGACTGCGCGATGGGCGAAAGCGTATCTTGATGGAATTCAACATGGTACGTACAGATCCAACCCCGACCATTTACTGGCAATCGTGTTTACAAGGTCTCGGCGTAGCACCTCCGAACAGGAATACGAAAGATGAAATATGTTATTTGAAAAATAATGATATTAGTTTTTAATATACATGTACGTGTATATATACCTGAAAATAAATAAGTTAAGCACACCCCGGAAATGTAAATTTGGTTGTGATTGAAAGCACTGTCATGAGATGATGGACTAATCGAGCTAAAAAAAGTAACTTGATAAGTAGCGATATCAATTTAGTACTCATAAACTAGTAAATTTATGAGTTTTGTTTATTGTTAACCAAATAATTGAAGTTTAAAATATGATAAACAAGATCAACAAGGGAAGGCGGCGTTAACGCACTTAAGTAAATGTGTTGTTTTGTTTTGTTGTTTTGTTACCAAAAAGTATTGCGTTGGAGAGTTTACAAAATATTTACTGGAAGCTATTTTTGGTAAATGTTGACGATTACGTAAAATGACATTAGGTAGCCAAACTTTTAATTACGTGTGTTTCAACCACGTGCCCGGATGATAGCATCAACCCTTCTCCTCATACTACCAGTAAAGCTTCTAATGCGATTTTGAGGTAATTTTTGCAATTCTTGGTGCAGAGCTTGTCTTAGTTGTTGCAGGTTGACTACAGGTGGTTCGTGCCATTGACAAAATAAAATTTAAATTTCAGCTGCGGTCATGTCAAAATTGAGGCAACATGCCGGGTATGACGTGAAGGGTTGAGGCTATCATCCGGGCATGTGGCGGTAACGTACGTTATTAAAAAGTGGCTACATAATGTCATTTTATTTTCAAATTAAATTTCTTAAATAAATAATAACAAATTTATGTTTCATAATTTTCATTGCATTTCATTAAAAAAATCTTACTTATCTCAGAGTAATAGTCTACGTTCACAGTGCAGCCGTCTTTATGCTGAAAGATTATTTCTTGTCGATCCATGAAATGATTAGCATCTCCTTCCTTTCGATGCGCTGAACCCTTGCCTTTGGTGTCTTTTATCTCGGAGTGTCCTACAAACTAGACTCTGCCTTCGTATTCGGGCCCAAGTTTTATCGACCATAATATTGCGATCCAAAACCCGTTTGCCCTAGCGCTCAAAATATGATACAACAAGGAAAGGCGGCGTTCAATGAACTCAACCCCTACGCGCCCAATGGACAAATTGTTATGAAGACTGGACACGGAGGGGACACCAACACTGAACGCCGAACAATTCCTTGAGGATAAATATGAAAATATGAAAAACAAGACCAACAAGGAAAGGCGGCGTTCAATGAATGACGTAGAAAATGAGTTGCTCTTAATCACTGTCCTTCAAAAGTCTGGGAGCCAATGTGGCGCTGACCTCCAACATCCCCAGGTCCTGAGTCATAATATGGTTAATGATAGAGCAGTATACGCACAGGTTTTCAGGAAACATTGGCACTCTTGCTTATTTGGGGCTGCTCCTCCCACACCCCCGGTTTATTACATGCTTATTTTTTTAAAGTAGAACAAAAGTCAGTATAACACATATTAGCTACCACAAACGCATGCACATTCATTTAGATACGCTCCCGTCCATCGCGCTGTGGCATTAGTCCGCTAAACTAGATTATATCCGGTCATCAGAGATAACGCTCACCGTAATCCGCCGATCAGCATTAAGCATGACCAATATCGACGTCGTAACAGTTGCTGTCATCATTCGCGTGAATCGTCTATATGCGGAGAAAACCTTTTCATATCACGTGTATACAAATAACATGCTGTTAGAACTTATAGCAGCAGACTCTTCAATCATACCTTTAGTATTTTTCGGCGATTTACCCTGCCAATAACAATTTTCCACTGCACGTAATTCCTCGTCTTTTGAAGACATAAAGACGAAAAAAGCTAAGCACCGGCGAGACTTAATGACCATTACTGAAATATCAACGACTTTTATACAGCAATGACGTCATGGCGTTTCTTTAACGTCTGCTAAGTTCGTGCCATTTTTTCTAGTCCGGAAATGATGATCTTACATTAATAATGGAATAATATTTACGGGGAAAATGGATCGCGCCAACAAGCAAGACATGAGTTACTATAGTATTTTGGGTGTTTCGTCCCGCAATGTGTACGTATTACGTTAATATAATAAATATTAAAAGAAATAGTTACTGCAAACTTTCGCGAACTTATCGAACAGCCCTTGTTCATGTTAGCTAACCAAAAATCATCAATATCTGCAATGTCTCATACTATTTTTAGTACTTGTATTTCATTCTGTGTTTAATTTGGATATTATTATCAAAATAGAAAATAGCTAATCGCCTGACATACAAGTTAGATTTTAGTGCTTCTGTAATATCATCGATATAATGAATGAATTGAATTATTATTAGACTTACCAAAACAATAAAGCCAGGTTCCCCTTTTGGAAACGAACGTATGCGATGGTTGAAAACTAAAGCTTAAAGGACTGACGCACTGCATGATGTCTGCTTCTGTACCATCGCATGACAAAGACCTGAGCCAAGCTTTTCGGTCATGTGACGACCCTAATGAGTGGTCTCCCGTACTAAAACCGCCAGTTCTAATGTAAATATTTTTCTCTTATTTCACAGAATCTATCATTTTATCAACTCCTCTCTGTTCTTACTTTCAAGTGTTTACTAAATATAGTGAAATGTGGACACAATTCAGCTTGCCCAACACGACCAAATTCAGCAAGTACTTTCAGGTAATTATAAACATGAAGAAATAATTATATTACATTCATCATTGCATCGTTTAATAAATTTCACTTTCACCTGTCATTAAAATAAGATTTTGTTTAGTATGAACGATAAATAAACAAAAACAGGCTATAAAGGGCAACATTTAACAGGCGGGAGATCTTTTCATGAATGCTCATGAAATACTTAATTGAATGTTTTTATTTCTTTTGTACTAAAACGTAACCGTTTATGTATATGTTTAAATAAAATAACAAACAAACAAACGCACCGAAAACCAAGTGTTTTGCAAAGAAAGTGTGCAGTTTCGTCATTGAATCTATATTCATGATTACCGACATATCCCCAAGAACCGTTGTAAAATATCTCAACAGCACCTTCATCGTTATACTCGTTCCATGTAGTCAATCTAACAGCTGAATAAGATTAAACAATAAAAGTTGTTTGTATGTATATCATGTTAGTGTGTCAGGGACAAACTGATAGTTTACATATGAGACAAAATGTTTTAGTTGGTATAAAAGCGATCAAACACTAGATTTAACAGTCACTGTGACGACGTAAAATAACCCCAAACGAATAATGATCCAAGGTAAAAAGTGTCCCATTAAAGGCAGTTAACATTCGAACTTCAGAAATCTGAAGAATATGTCCTGAATAACAGTAAAACATTTCTTGGACGATATTGTTGTTATTGTCAACGTCACATACGTAGTACATTTTTAACTTTTATACAACTTTGAACTTTTCCTTGATCTTAAAAACCTGCATTATTCCTTTAGTCAGTTTCCATTTAACTTTTGTTCATACTTTATTTTATATTCATATTGAGATGGAAGACGAGTTAATATTATACACTTTTGTTACTATATAATTAGAGCTGACGTGAGTCTGGGTCTTATTGTCAACATCACTTATTTCACAGTAATGGCATATTTCCATGTCACTGGTGTTAACCTTGGACAACATTGACGTATATTTTAGTCATAAACGGGTTTTTGTGGGAAATACAATGTATTTTAAATCTTGAGATTTTACGCTTTTATTTTGCTAAAAGACTCGACTGTTTGTTAAAATGTTTGCATCTTTATTTTCTAAATGTTCATGTGTGTTGAAAAAAAAATTATTTTGAGTAACAAAGTAAAGTTAGTTTAAATATTGAATTTGAGCAATATTACAGTAACTGAAACATGAAAAAACTATATTGTTACACCATACCGCGATTTAAATGATGATATACGCTTTTATAATGGCAAACCTATGGTTTACGTCTGACCAATTAAATTTGTTTTTGATTTAATATGCTGTTGTTTCATTGTGGCACACAGCAAAAAGCAGAAAATACATAAACGTTACAGATTTTTTACAAATGTTACAGTTTATTATACAGTAAGATCATTGTTTTCTTTTAGATTCAAAGCTTTAAGTAACATGAACTAAGAGAAGCACAGTATGCATGCATTTTAGTGAGCCATTTAGGGTAATTAACCTTCAGATTGTCAGTAAATTCTTGTACAGGGGTGAATTTTTATGAAAAATAACGACACATGACTTGGGTATATTATTTTAGGTGCGAGAATCATAATTCTCCGCATGTCATTGTTTTATATATTATGACCGGGGAGTCAAGATTCAAAAGGAAATTGTGACATCGGTAAATTATTCTACGGAGGTTAATATTTGATTGACACCATATTCCCGGATAAAATATAATTTTCAAATATATAACAAATAAAGTCACACAAAAAACAACATTTCAAATTCTGCCTTAAAAATAAAAAAAGAAATAAAAATATGTCACTTGAAAAAATACGTGTACATATTTTCTACTGAGCAATTATAACAATGCAATTAGAGAAGTTTTTAGCAACTAACCAAAACATGAAATATTTATTTCTTTATGTTTTCGAATGTATAACTCACCTTTGCATGTTATGTAAACAGCTCTTGTACATTTATCGATGATAGCATTAGACATTGTGCAATCATTTAGAGATCTCTCGTTTCCCGTGCATGTTAGTTTATTGTTAAATAATGGTATTGAGCCGGGATCACCTTCGGTAAAAGCTACCAAACCACTAATAACAATAAAAAGAGTGTTATAAATTATAAATTTACCTGTTTCTATTTTTGTTTATTTCATTCTATATACTGTAATGTATGAATTACATAGATTATTCCACACAAAAAAACATCATTTCTAAAGGAAGATCAAAGGCAAACCTTTCTAAAATATTTGCAGGCTTGGCATGAGTCGTAAATGCAAGGTAACGTTCATGCCCATTCTTACCAGCTTAAGCTATGTTTATAGAACAGTGATACCCTATGCTGCATCAAAAAATATTGTATCCTAAACGTTTGTGTTTTAGTTACAAACGTAATTATTTGTCTTACGTTTTATGTGAATATTAAGTACATGTATTTCTTTACACCTATTTACAAAAATATAAGGCAGATCACTATATTTACTTACTTAAATTGTAAATGCTTACACACCACATCTCCTGCGTTGATATCAAAACTTTCGTAACAAATTGTGTGTTGTGTGCCGGAAAACGCCGCTAGAAGCATGCCTGTATTTTGTGATATTCCTCCAGTCAGTTTGTAATCTATATGAATTTAGAAAAGTGGAAACCGTGAAAATCGTCCATAATGACCAAGATATAAACTTTAGTTTAAACATATTTCATTCATAACCATACACATGAAATACTGTTCGATTTGATTATGCCAATTAATGGTTGGTATGCATGCTACTATACTATACCACCAGGATGCCTTAGCATTTACTTATTAAATTGTGTATATAAGAATGAAGTTATATCCGCAGATATGTTCAAACATTCCAAACGTAATAATTGCTGTTCACTTAAAAAGCAAAAAAGGTGACTTATAAAATACTTAATCTTCATGAAATGCATTGGCAAAATTGATTTAAAGAAAATTATCTCAAACGCAAATATAATGCTATGCTGGTTTACCTTCAACGATTGGAATAATAACATCTTTGATTAATAAATACTCTTAACATTAGATTATAACCACAGATAAACAACAATATTACTCTAAGGTGTTTATAAAGATTGATAGAAGTTAACATGTTGCAACACATTGAAAATGATAGCATCAATCTTTCTGTCTAGATTCAGACATAGGCATTCTTGAATCATACAACAGAGGCAGAGATTGGTTAACATTAATTAGAAACAAAAAGGTGAGTCATAACCTAGACCTCTAAGCCTCCCTATATGTCCCACGAGTGCAACTATAATGAAGACCGGATACATCAAACAATTATAAAGATTATAAAAAATGAAGATTATAAAGTCTATTTTAGTATAAAGATAAATAAACACTGAACCACCTGATAGCATAATAAACTGAATCTTGAACTGGACGTACGCGTACGCGAGGAGCGTTGCACAACGAAATACAGCCTTTAACAAGCCTAGTGGAAAATAACGCGCTGTCTTTTTTTATTTTAAAACATCGTTCTTTATCGTTATCAAATAATCGTTCTTTTAAACTTCAATCCGAAAGCAGATACTGATTTGCAGGGGAGTGGGGGTCAATACACTTAGCTTTCCTTATTGGCGTCCGCGCCGAAGCGCGACGCCCTTTATGGAATAAAATCAGATTTTGTGAAAGGGCAATTGTAACTTCTCAGGCCTTTTCGTCGGTCATAATAGCCGATCATTCCGATTGGTATGAAGTAGTTTGATTATCAAAAATAAAATGTTGCGATATATACAATGTATAGCGAACTGGAAAATTTCGCAATGCTAACATATTCACATTAAATTATCTTATCCGTCTTTGAATTTATTATTATTCATTTTTTAGTTCACAGTGGGTTATTAAGTAAGGTGTACCTATAACTAGAATGATGACCTTAATATTGTGAAAGTCCGAAATTCTATTTATAGAATTAGTTTTAGTTTAACGAAACAGCCATTCGTGTCGCGCTATGATAATAAAAAACGAAGTGGAGAATTTTGCAGGAAATGAAATGCAAACACACTCAAACAATTAATTGCACTCTAAATGTAGGCCATTTTTACTAATTGTTATATCATAGTTTTATCATTTTGAATTTGACTTTTTGCTTCTTTCCGGTTACCGTGAATATTTAAATAGACCTAGTTCATAACTTTAAATGTCGCTTTTATTTTGACGTTGTGCGACAGTAGGTCTAGCACTAGTATACTATGAAACCTATTCGATGTTCAAGTCTCTTTAGCTAAAATCGACCCTGATTTCCCGGATTTTCTGTTGTTCTATATTTTGTTTGAAGGCAATCGATTTTATGGTTGTTTGAGTGGAATGTGGATTTGCCGAATATTGTGACATTTTAACAGAAACTTTCGTCTGCAATTTTAACATGACTTGTCATGGGTTAATTGATAGGAATGTAAACAAACTGGTGGGTCAGACGAGGTTTTTGAAGTTATTCATTAAAATAGTAGATTGACCTCCCAATAAATCAATTAACAGAATTTGTTCATTTTGACTACTATTTTGTACGTTCAAAAGAAAAACCACATAAACTTGCACTTCTATCAAATAACCAAAATTTATAATAATATCCAAAAATACCCTTTATATATTATAAATAAACTTATACCATATGGGTGGTATATTTTTGACATTATCGTTAATATTGATAGAATTTCAAGTTCCCGTGGAAAAAAAACATTTAATCTTCTAATCTCTAGCATGTCTACCAGAGTTCATTATGAACAATGTCTTTCGTCCGCCCATTCATAAATAATATACAATTCTGGTTAATACTAATTAAACGATGAAAAGTTTATAAGAATATCTGGTCATCAGATGTCTACTAGTTCATCTTTTCCTTGCTGCATATCTTACTTAATCGCGCTTTGATGCTTTGCACCAATGCTTTTCTTGTTACTTTTTGAATAATTGCAATACAAAGACACGGACACGAAAAATACGAAGACTAATTTAGAAAAATTGTATTTACTTACCCACACAATATAGCTTGCTGCCATAGCCCAAGTACCATGCACCAGATTGAGCGTAGTTCAATTGGTCAGTTTCAACACATTCATCAATACTACGTTCATTTCCATTGCATTCTAATGTCCGCAACCAGGAATATTTTATTGTATTGTATCCTATGTGCATGCGTCCGGCACCATATCCAAATAGACTATATTTTATAAATATAGATATTAAACAATATACATGTGAAGTGATTTTATCAAAATTCGTTTCTCTATCTTTATTTGCCTCATATTCTTGTATACGTGTTCGTGTCAAAATGTATTCGTGTTATCTTTATAGATTATCTCGTTTAAATGAATTTTTCGCAGACAAAATGTTTTTCAAATCTTTATTCTGGGAGGAAGGGCGATTTAACCACAACATACAAAGAATATTGAATGTAGATAAGGTTTTCAATTGGGATAATTCATATAAAAGTGCCCAAGAAAAAGGCAAATATGATATTTTGAAACATTTTTAGTGTTTACAAATTAACTCTTACATTTCAAAATAGGTATGTTGGAAACACAATGACACTTTTATTTCATTAATTACCTCTTACCTACATGTAAAATTCCAGGTTAGCAAAACAATTTTTTCCAAAAGAAAAATGATTACGTGTAAACATAATTGTTCTGTTCATATATTAAAGATATTTTATATGATAAAACGTAATATATATAGTTACGTATTGTTTCAAATTAAAAGTAGTGTAGATTGAATCTTAAACTTTTATTTTGCAACAACATACCTTAAGTTTAGTGTTTTACATAAAATAGAGGCTGTGACGTCAGAGAACCGAAAATCTGTGTCTCCAATAAATCCCCATAAACCATTGTAAAATATTTCTACAAAATTGATAAACACAGAATCCCTAAACCCTCTGTGCCTTGTGAGTTTGTTGGCAACAATCGTATTTCAAAGCCTAAATACAAGAAGTATTTTATACAATGTGTAACTGTCCTTAATCGTAACAGTTTATTTTAAATAATTTAATATGTAACCCGTTGAATAGTTAAAACTTATATTTAAAGTAAAGGAACAAACGATCTGTTCATATATCATTGTATTGGCCTTCATAGTAGACAAAATACTCACGATAAATCAATGATGTCATGAGGTTATTTCACAATGCTGAGAACAATTCCAAATTCTATTGGACGAGTGCAAAGTTGACAACCTATATTGCATTTTTGATGAGACGCTAGCATAGTCGAGTATATGTTTTGAAGCTGTGTAAGAGTCCAACAGAATCGTATTGTATTAAACAAATTTAAAAGACTTCTTTATTTTACGTCAACAAATTGAATGTTTTCACACTTAGACACAGTTTTGTTTCTTCTAAATGGATATGATAAGTTTGTTTGAACACAAGGCTAACTTGAGAACAATAAGGATTTGAATTGGGTGTTTCGGGACACGGGAAATGAGAACAAGGCTTAATTGATAAGTAATTTCTATTGGTAACATCTCATGGTACAAACGCTGGAAGTTTATTTTATAACGTGTAAAATAAAAGCAGATACAATGTACTTTAAATAAGTTAAAATTTACCTTCGGCAGATCGAGCATTCAATAGAAATATTGCCGCTAGAAGCATCATTTTTATGATTTCCATCATGTAACCTGAAAGGGCAAATACACATACTTTTAACAAGTAAGCAATAAATTAAATGTTGATGTTCTGCAACACATCAAAGCAAAATATTATATTTTATAAATAGACTTTAATGTATGTCGGCTGATTTGTGCAATTCGTATTTTCGCCCCACGACCCCACCAAGCGAATAGTCGAGAATTAACAAGTTAAAATGGCGGGGGCGCTGGGCAAATGTCGCTTATAAGCGGGCTCGCGGGGCGAAGTTTAATAAATATGAATGGAAAAGCGAGATTTTAGAAATGAAACGACAGGGACGCAGTACGATAAACAAGCTAATTGGCGGGGGCGTGGGGCGAAGTTTAATAAATAAAACTTTGCCTGCGCCCCCGCTAATAAGCTTATTTTCGCTCCGCGCCCCGCTGTTTAATATCTATAATCATGCTTATTTATTTAATTACGCTCCCGCTTATTAATGTGTTTACGCTATAAAACTTATAAAACTTCGTATCGCCACCCCCCCCCCCCTTTTATTAACCCCCCGCAGTTGTATTTCTTAAATCGCGCTCCATGCCCTCGCGTGCGGAAGTTTTATTGATTAAACGCGCCACCGCTTTTTAGAGATTTTTCGTTCCCCGTCCCGCCATTTTAACTTGTTAATTCTTGACTTTTCGCTTGGCGGGGTCCCGGGGCGAAAACACGAATAGCACAAATCAGCAACCATATTAATAATTGTTTTATGAGACGCACAATATTCATAACGGCTATCGTGGAATTTTCCACCATATTTGATTTTAAAGTGGGTTCCCCAGTTAATAGATAAGTGTATGTCTGGTAAAAGAATTATAATGCATCTGTGCTTCATCCAAATAAGATGACCAAACATATTACTTCCAGCAGTTCTCTAAACGGAGGAAAACAATCTGCTGGATATAGCAGAAAATGATTATAGATATCACATAAAATGACCACAGCGACTCATTTTACATCTTGTTAATGTGCAATATTTAGAGCAGTTTATTTTTTTATCAAATTCAAAATTAAAACATACCTTTTCAAGTAAATGGTCAAGTTATACCTTCTTTTAAGAACAGAGTAAACAAGCATTGATTCACAAAATACCCTTGATTGTTTAATTGCATTCATTTAACTTCCTCTATCTGTAAGAATGTACTTAATTATTTACGGTGTTGATATTTATTCTATGCATGTGGTAGTCAGTAATATCTATATCATATTACAGTTTTCATTGACGAGAGAAATTATAATATAATAATGGTAAGTTTACACGGCGGGTGATCACGTGACGAAAATCGTACAATGGGCTCAATCAATGGCTGCCGGATCGCTCGGATCAAGGTAAGCATACATTAAACGATAAATTTATACCAAAGAGGTTGCCGCCTGTAAAAAACATATACTTATTTGCTTACCATGTAGCATACTCTGTTTAAGCCTGAAAATCGAACATTGTTTAAGATGTTGAGTTTAATAGGCACACAGGCACATGATATCGTTGTTTTTTTTTGTTTTCTTTTGTTTTTTTTTGTTTCAATTAAACGTGCTTATAGCAATATTTGCAATAACAACTTGCACAAAATTTTGATTTTGCCCTATATGAAAAATTTCAGTTGTTTTCAAAGTTGCATAACAAAGTCACATATCTATTTACGACAAAAACACACGTGTCAGACAAAATAAAATGAGTACAATGATAAAACGATTTCATTGCCAATCCAATATCATTCAGTCTTACATAACAAAATTTCTTGTTTCTTTTTTCAGAGCTAGTCTCAAAAACCAAGAAATATTATATCTAAAAGTGAAAAAAAAGTTAGATTTTTTACAGTTGCATTGCAGAATTGATTTAGTTAATCAATATAATACTGTTTCGATAACACGAATACATTTTTGTATAATTATACAACTATATTATAATACGTGTTCGTGTCAAAATGTATTCGTGTTATCTTTATAAATTATCTCGTTTAAATGAATTTTTCGCAGACAAAATGTTTTTCAAATCTTATTTCTGGGAGAAAGGGCGACTTAGCCACAGCATACAAAGAATATTGAAGGTAGATAAGGTTTTCAATTGGGATAATTCATATAAAAGTGCCCAAGAAAAAGGCAAATATGAGATTTTAAACATTTTCAGTGTTTACTTAGGATAATGCTGGGACAAAATGAATGGCTTCGTACAAATTTACTCTTACATTTCAAAATAGGTAAGTAGGAAACACAAATGACACTTTATTTCATTAATTACCTCTTACCTACATGTAAAATTCCAGGTTCGCAAAACAATTTTTCCAAAAGAAATATGATTACGTGTAAACATAATTGTCTTGTTCATATATTAAAGGTATTTAATATGATAAAACGTAATATATATATACGTAAAAAAAACTGCGCGAGAGTGCCAGTGTCTTCTTTGCATGAGCGTAAATTACTTAGATAGTTTTCGATTTCGATTTACGCAGGAAGCACGAGTAACGATTTTTTTGAAGATCGTTTTTAGAAAAGTGATTTACTCTTTATGTAGTTTTATCGACATGCAAAAAACACTTAACAGAATTTTTTGAAAAAATAAGAATTTGCAGGAAATTAACATGCGTAAAACTGATTTATAAATTATGTCCTAAATTCTCTGTTGTAGATTTACCGCTAGGCTTTACAATAAAAAATGAATCGTACGCATGGTCCTCACATATCATTTTACACAAATGAACACGGTTGGTACATTTAGTCTCAGATATAAATATTTTCCTTCTTTAAAAAGGGCAAACATGAGATTTATAACGTTGAAATAATGGTTTAAGAGCACTTCAGACGCTTGTCTCCCAATAAGTTAACACTAAATGTCATCAAAGTAGCAGATAAAAAATATAGTTTTTGGACTTTCATATAAAAATACTTACACCATATAACCGTGCTAGTTTCTAAACAGCAACAGAACCAAAAAAAATGTTCAAGTTATTGGCCAATAAGTAACTTAAATAACAAATAAGTTATACTACTTTCAAAACATACATACATACATATGTCAGTGAAGAAGCAGCGGCGTTGGACATAAGCTTTTTAAGCGGGATTTTGATGTCGTGAAAGGAAAGCATTTTCGCAAAGAATTTTGACGTTTTCTTAGTTTAGTAAATTTGACAAAAATAAAGTCAATTCAAATGAGATGTGTTATTCAAAACGACAGGTTTCAAAAATCTGGAAAAAAAGTCTGGAAACTAAGTGATCCCTCGGAAGCATTAATCACAACAAAATTACAAGAGAATTGCAGACTCGGTTTGATTGAGTCTGTACATGGGGGATAATAAATACGTGCAACATCCCTCACGCCCCCTAGCACCGGTTTGTGCGGTACTCAATTCTCAACACTTAATAGTGCTAGCATCAATGATCCCAAAGGACCAGAAAAATAAAACAACACTGAAGTGAAAAGTACGGGGCAACTTTTTACAGCTGCCACACGGCACTTGACGCCTGCTGTTTGATGTACAAAAATCTGGATACAAAGTGATCCCTCGGAAGCATTAATCACAACAAAATTACAAGAGAATTGCAGACTCGGTTTGATTGAGCCTATACATGAGGAGTCCAACCAAAGATATTAACTTCGCAAAATCTAATCAGCATCACAAATTAACTTAAACCAAAACCAAACAACACATTAAAAATAACATTAAAACGTGGTAAACGGTCGCATTACCATGTCCAAATACACTCAAATCATGTTGATAAATAGTTAAATAGCTAGTGCATCTACACAGTTACTTACATTCGTTTATATATATCATGTAAAAGACTGGCAGGTATGAATATATCAGTTCTCTGATACAATATAGGGTATAAAAGTAATGTATAATAATACACTTAACAAGGAAGTAAACCGATAACATTGTCAGACACCTCATGGTTACCGTAATCGCATCCCTATACAGTTTTACCCGCACGCAGCTACCTGGCAGAGGATACAATTATGGGAGAAGTAAAAGAGGTAGTGATCTTAGTTGTGGTGTTGGTGATTGGGGGTGGTAGTAGTAGAGGAAACTTATGAAGCAGTAGCAAAAGCAGAAGGACAGACGAAGCAGTAGATGTTAAAGCATCATCAGTAAAAGAGTTTTGTGCATCCCTGGTTACACACATTGCCTGTATCATGTATATTGTTTACATTTATTGTGACTTTCTTTGAATAAGTCCCGTTGTATCTTAGATGTTTGTAATTGAGATGACATTAAGAACAGTTGATAAGGTATGCATGTAGTAGATATAACTATGACATTTGAGAAGGATAGAAAACAATGTTCTGTTTTAGTTTATTTTATTTACAAAAAAGGAAAAAGAAAGATATACATACATGTAAAACCAGTTATAATGTATAATACAATGGTATAACAAGGGTTGCCCATATGTTCTCTCTACAACGGATCCTCCTTTATGCAGTAAGTTACAAAAACATGTTATACAAGAATTATCACTAAGATAGAAGTAACTTAAACATAAAGATGATTTGAACTTGACTTTGTTCTGTTTGATAAGGCGTTTGATGTTAAACACGATACTCATCGTAGCCTGATGGTAAAAGGAGTGATAACTCTTGTTATTTGAAGTCAATATTTCTGTTTTGATTATTTCCCTTCAGCTATACAATTCAAAGTGAAGAGAATATTTTTTGAAAATAAATCCTATAATGGTGAAACAAAACTACTTTTAAATAAAATATTGACATGACATGTCCTGCATGATACACTCATCGCTTTTTAAATGTCATAACAACAATGCTAGTACAAATGAATAAGCATTATACGTCAGAATTCAATCTATAAGATTGCATAAAATGTGTGTAATGAATGGTTTATAAGTTTTTGATGATTCTAACTATAAAACCAGTCTATTTAACATATAATAAATAAACAAACGAAGACCAATGTACTATTAAGATTGAAATTTTTTAAGACACTAAATACGTTTTTGGTTAAACGTCACAATGTTACAATTTAGGACTTAAAGGTTACTTTTAAGGTGTCCTAGTGCAGGAAGACATCATGCAACCCGTCAAATACCTACATTAGTAAGCCAGATGCTAGTATCAATATAAAACTTTATATCATTAGTTGCTTTATTTACTAACTATTGGCTTAAATATAAATTGATGTATGAATTAGATTTACGAGACTCACATAAATTTCATTTCATTTTGAATAACAAAATTGATAATACAAAATAACATTTTCTTGACCAATTCAAATACATTCATTAAGATGTGTTGCAAACATCTGATCATGATTATGATATAATTGAAACTTAAAACTGTTTGACAAATGGGCAACATTAAAGTACATGCAAGGCTTGAAAATTGCTGTTATCGTGAACTTTGTAGTTTAATGTTTATATATGTATTATGCTATTACAAATCAGCTGTCTCAAGTTAACATACACTTCGTCAATATACATTTTAACTACTTTCCAGAGGTCATTACAATGGTACTAGTGGTAATTGTGGTAGTAAAATTAGCAGGAGCAGAAGAAGCAAACGAAGTTGAAGTATCAGCAGCAGTAAGGGAGTTTCGCAATTTAAAGATGTTTAAAAAAACAATTTTAGATCATGGCAAAATGGTTTGGCAGAAAAAGTAAAATAAAATTTTTAGTTTTTCAATTCGCAATTTTGCTACATTTAGACGTAAATGGGATTGCTGAGTCGGAATATTAATCTAAGTTTCGCCAGCCGAGTGGGTTTAAACTCCGTCAGGGACAAGCCGTTGCAAGATACTTTACACTCGTTGTGAAGTACTGGTTGGTTCTAGGATAGGATGAAAGAGTGTGTTTATATTCACTGAAACACAGTCCTGCTATTTATTTTCTTAGTTATACCTACAATGTATTTAGTAATTTTCATCATCTTGCAGTTGTATATACATGTGTTAGTAAAGTAACACAACATATTCCGATACAAGACATTTACATATGAAGTCCTTTCTATAAAATGTTGAACCATTTAACTGTTTAAAATATTCTTTAAATTAGATTTTGCGACTCCGTAAATATGGTATTGCACGGCCGTGCATATATTTTGACGTGACATCATTAGCGTTATACAAACATAGTGTAAAGACGCGCTAAATGTTAGCGTTATACTATAGGCGCGTCAATGAAATATGACTCTTATTTCACCTTAAACGGTCTTTATTTTTGGTATGTTTCGCCAGAGGCTCGCATAATATAATTTTATTCAACTCGTGCAATAAATTCAGTATTGAACTTACACTCATTCAATATCCTCTATATATTAAATTATTAGCAGTTTAAAAATGCAATAAAGCAATAATACAATCGGCAAGAGTAAAAAACTTTACATTTAAAGCTACATTTAATAAATTTCATAAAAAACTAAATAGCGACATTTCATAAATAAATTGGGTTTTATATCGACTCCATGTCTTATTTTGGTGTCCAGACAACCAAAATGAGCTTTATTAGCATAAAAATGGGTAACCTCATTGTGGCGAAATGGGATGTACAATTTCTGTTTGCATGAGATACTCCGCCTTTGGATCATCCGTATATCAATCTTGAATCAACAAACATGACTATAAGTATCAGTCCTAATTTAACGGTATATTTCCGCACTGTAACGGATGTTTTCATACAAATTTAATCTTTTTAAGAGATGATTACTTTCACTGAACCCCACGCTTAGTGCACCATGAAGTTGAAACCGTTAAAGTGTGTTTGCACAAGAAAATATCATATTTGCTGTGCCCCGGATAGCAACTATAAAACTGTGACGTAGCGCATACACGAGCTGATTATATAGTCTTCATTTGCATGTTAAAATTTGTATACGAACTTTAGTGTTACCATGGGGTTTTCCGTTTAAAATCCTATTTTTTGAACAATTTTTTGATGAGATTTACAACAATACTGTTAAACAGGTTAATGAAACTGTACAATGTTTGATTTTTAGGCCGACGGCAATTTTTTTTACATTTTTATTTAATGTAGCTTTAATGTTGGTGGTATTTTACAAACGATAATCATCCTCATTTTTAATAAACATAGCATACATGTATGTAAAATTTGAACGTTAGACTTGTCCGTCAAATGCATAGAGTAGAACAAATACGGTGTTTTAAATCATTATCTTTTGTTTGATTACGATAAATGCCGACGTTACTAGATACGGTAAAATATTTTATCAAAATTTCGACTCATACAAACTTGAAATAAATGATTATCGGGTGATAACGACAAGGATCAGATACACACACAATCTTTGTGTTTATTGACGCGATCGATATACATTATAACCATAATGGCTGAGTGTAAAAGTAATATAAATGAAAAAGAATTAGTAAAGAAACTGTTGTGTCATCCATGCTTGTATAAGGATAAAAAAACGGACGCAATTTTTTTTTGTCGAACATGTAATGAATTTCAATGTAAGAATTGTTCAAAAGTTCATGAAACACATACCTTCCTAAGGAGTCACACATTAGTGAATGCGAATGAAGCAGATACGGGACAAACCTCGTTTGATATGAAAGGAATAGATCAATGTATCCATCATCAGAAAGTTATAGAATTCTTTTGTGAAGATGAGGAAAAGCTTTGTTGCAGTACTTGTGCTATTGTTAATCATCGTAAATGTCAAAGTGTTGTAGACGTCCAGACGGTTGTCGAACAATCAAAGCGTAAAAAGTCAAATGTTAAAGTCAAATTGCTGGAAGTGAAACAGAAGGCAGAAATTATCAGCAACAGTGTTGCCTCCTCTAAAAGGAAACTGGAAGAAGATATTCAAAATATACCAGTAAAAATAAAGAAAAGGCGGGATGAAGTGAACAATATGTTTGATGAGTTGGAGCGGTCTGTTGTTAAAAACGTTGACTCATACAAGTCAGAAACATTTGGAAAGCTCACAAAGAAGCAAATACAGAACGATAACTATTTAGCCAATATATCAACGTGTCTGGATACAATTGAAAACGTGAATCAGAACGGAACTTCAGTTCAGCAGTTTATAGTGGAGCAAAAAATGAAGGAAGATATCAATGTTCTTTACAAAAAAGTCAATGCAGAGTGCAAAGGCTTAGAAACCATGACGGTGAACTTTGAGTTTGACGAAACACTTAAACTTCCACCTCTACCTATCTCTGTTCATGTTCCGGGATATCTTACATTGAAGTCACATCTGCCAGAAGCTGCAAGCACTATAGCACCTGAGAAGAAGGCAATAAAACTGACACCAGTATGTACCATTGATTTAATGCAGGACGAAGGAAAAGAGCCCTTTTATAAAGGGATAGATTTTTTGCCTGATGGTAGACTGGTTGTTGTAGATAATAAGAATAAGAAATGTTTGGTGTACAATACAAAGCTTGAAAAACTAGGATCGTTTCAGTTATCTTCGATACCACAATCAGTTGTTGCTGTATCTGATGAGAAAGTGATGGTTACGGGAGGTCGATCATATAAGTTAGACATATTACGTGTGGATAAATCAAATGAAATAATGTTAGATAGATCTTTCACAATGACAACAAGATATGACTCGGTATGCATTAAAGATGATGAACATTTTGTTGGAGTGACTATCGAACATCCACGACCAGTTCGTATTATAGCAACAACAGGTGAAGAGAAAGATTTCAATATCAACTTTCCGAGCAAGACATACCCCTTAGGAGCAAGTGCTTGTACTTACATTAGAAATAGTGAGAAAGTGGTGCTCACAGATAGATACGACCATACTGTCTACATATATGATATCAAGACAAACACGAGAGTCGTAGTAAAGAATGACCTGATAAAGGAGCCCTGTGGTGCTGCAGTTGGTCCCTTTGACACTATCCTTGTTTGTAGCCAAAACACTAATTCCATTGTACAGATCTCTCAAACCGGTCGGATCTTATCATCATACATCACAGACTTGAAATTTCCAACAACAATATGTGTGTCACGTGACAAATCATTTCTTGTTGTATCAAATGCATATAATTTGGAGAGAAAACTACAGAAGTTGAAAATAACATATTGATCACGTTGTCAGATATTTATGGTTTCAATTCGACAAAATTGTATCAGATTTAGCAATAGATATCACCATGTTCTGATTACCTACTATGAATATAGTGTAATGATTTATACTACATACTGAATGATGCCAAGTACTTGGTAGCTTTCTGTTTAAACAACTTAGAAACTAGTAACGTTATAGGTGCAAACGCGTGTGCATGCAAATTGTTCGATTCATATGTCTATCCGCCTTTCTCGTGTATACAAACGTGCTTGTGAACATAAATTTGTGCAACAGTACCAGTGTGTCTGCGTGCGCGTTTGTGTGCGCGCATGTATGTGTGTGCGTCTGTGAGTGTTGTTGTTGTTTGTTTTTTTTGTTGTTTAACGTTTTTAATTTTATTACTTTATATGGTAGATCAATTACTATTATAGTTAATTCAGAACTGTATTTGCTCTATAATTATACGATAATTAACTGTGCATGTTCATAGATAAGAAATTGATTTTAGTGTAAATATTCGCTTTTGCATAATAAATAAATTTCCATCAATCTGTTATGATTTAACAATTAACAAATGAAATAGGCAAAATGTGGCCTATTGTCAAATGTATATGGCTCTCTTCAATGACATTATTGGTAATAACATAACTTTGGTAATAACCATGGGTCATCATAGTGAATCAGGACTTGCTTCTAAGAGATCTGTACTTTCATTATCATGAGATATAAGTTGATGAAACATCACCATCTATCTATATTTAGAGATTTTGAAAGGATACAAACAAATTGTTAAAAGCTCTGTCCTACCATTTTAACATCGTTTCAGTTTCTCATCAAACGTACCTTGTCGTCAACTTCTACTGCTGAATTTGTTTTGTTTCTTTTTTTTCATATCTAAAATAATGAGCTGAGCTGTTTGGGAAATGTATACAAAGAAATCCTTGTTAAGATAATGTTATCTATTTTTTTTACCTGGCGTAAGATAGTTTTATCATCACCGTTCATTGAAAATCTCGTTTCGAGCCGGAAGTAACGATATTTTTAGAATAAAAAACAGATTATTTGTTTAAAAAGAGATTTTCTATCGGATATTTAAAAGCCCCACAACGGAAGATTTATTAACAAAATGAGTATTTACAGGAAATTGAAATGAGGAGAAACTGAACTATAAATTATTTCCTAAATTGTCAGAGTTATAAGTTTATCGCTCTATTAACACATAGGCTTTAAAAATAAAATAAATGAATCTCATGGTCTTCACATATCATTTTACACAAATTAATTCTACGTTGTTGCGAATATGTGATAAAGGTACATTTAGCCTCAGAAATAAATATTTTTTCTTCTTCAGAAAGGACAAACATGATATTTATATATCGTTGAAATAACGGTTTTAGAGCACTTTAGATGCTCATCTCCTTCACAAATAGGCGCTGAATTTCATCAAAGTAGCAAAATAAAAATAAAATAGTAGTTGTACTAACATACAAAATACTAATACGAAAGAACTGTACTAGTTTCCAAATAGCAACAAAAGCAAAAGATTGATCAGGTTATTGGCCGATGAGTAACTTTTTGGTATCTTAACCAGTAAAACAAAAATAAAAGCATTTCTCGGGCTTAAAGGACCTAAAGTTTCTATCAATATTTGGTTGCCATTTCTATCGCTTACTCAAAAACAAGCCAATTAACTTGCGACAGTCTTGTAGCGCGGCATTCTATCGCAAGCGGGACAGAATTCTTACACTAAATAAGTGATACTATTTTTCAAGCATTTATACATTATACGGTATGTCAGTGTATAAGCAGCTCTGTTTTAAGGCGGGATTTGATGTTGTGAAAGAAATGCATATATCTAACATCTTCTTACTTTAGTAGATTTGACAATTTTTTTTTTAATTCAAATGAGATTTGTAAGTTAAAAAGAAAGATTTTAAAAAATCTGGAAAAGGGTGATCTCCCCCTAAACATTAACAACAACAAATTAACATGAAAATTTCAGACTCGGTTTGATTGAGCCTGTACATAAAGGATAATGTAATATTATGTAATGTAAAAGGGTGTTTGTCGTTGAACGGACACTTTTGCCGTTTAATGGGTTCCATCTTTTTTGTTTTCTTCCGGAGAACCAGCAATCTCAATACTTTCTATTGCCGTGTAAACGGAGGAAGCATTCGATTGTGACTCGGGCGATCCGATATTTAGTCGGACATTTGTTTCCAGACATTGAATGAAGAAGTAACCAGTTAGGAATAGATTTGAAAGGGAAAGCAAAGGGACATTGCTTCATAACTGATCATGAATGTTTTGAGTAATATTTCGGTTATATGTTACGTTATTGGCGTTTACCTTAAATGAAATGGTTAATTTCGCATAAGCCATTTATACAAAATATCTTTTCACATATACGTTTTTATACAAAACAATACTAAACAACACGCGAGTCCAAACTCGAAACTAATGATAAAACAAAATAAAAGCGCAAGAAAAATACAAAATGATTTTTTTACAACTCTAAGATACCCGCAGCTACTTTCCAGTGAACATAAATATGGCAGAATTAAAAAATATAGTGGTCTTGATTTTGGTGATTGGGGTAGTAGTAGAAGAGGTAATATATGAAGCAGTAACAAAAGTAGAAGTTACAGACGCAGCAGTAGATGTTGAAGTATCATCAGTAAAACAGTTACAAGAGAATACAAAATATTCATATCATGACACGAAAGCTCGACAAAACCATTCCTTTTTTGTATGGCCAGTTTACCTGTATGTGGCATTGCAACATTTCATAATAGCAGTCATGTTATTGTTATTTTGAATCTTTATGCATTTTTAAAGTTTCATTAATACAGAGAAAACGTTAAAGGCCACAACAAACGGTAGGATTTCTACACTGTAAGAATCATCTGAGGTTTTCCCTTAAAAGGATCCCTTTACATTGATCCTTTACATACTTTACTCACTAAATACTTTTTTCGCCATGAGTAATGATTGAAACATCTCCATTTAAAAAAAATATAATTATATATATATTTTGTTTTTAATGTGAAGCTTGACTGAGACTCAAACCTGGGACCCTCGGAATACCGTACTGCGGCTCTACTGACTAAGCTATCTGGCGGCCTCCAAACTGTCTCCCCTCCCCTAATTAGAGAACAATTCAATGTCGTGACATAATCATTTTTGGAATAATTTGGGATTCGAACATAACACAACTTTGGGTCTCCTGAAGAGTTTTTCAACATCATTTTTACATGTACCCCATTTTACTACGATGTTTACCTTTTAGCCTTAATTGTTCTGGAATTTCATTCATTACACCCCATTATCAGGAGATAATTTGGTTATCTGTTACTTGTCATTGTGGGAGGTCTGTAAAAATCTGTACGACAAGATTTTCAAAATAGAACATGTCCTATCCCTTACATCTAGACTTAAGGTTTCCGAAATCAAGAAATAGTAGCCTTCACACATTAAGATTTGTCAGTACATCCTAGTTTTAATTGGTGTTGTACTTCAAAATCCTACCGTCTGTTGGGGCCTTAAGATTGGTCTAGAAAATAAAACCTAATGTTAACAAGTTACTAGTATATGTAAAGATAATATGTTTCTGATATTTTCAATCCAAGTTTCCTCATATATAGTTTATTATACATCGTCACCTTAGTGCAGTAACGGTTTAACTTCTTATATAATTTCATAAAAGTTAACCTGTTACTTGTATGTGTAAAGATTGCTCTTTGTTACGTACATGAAATTTATATGGTAGAACATTAAGAATTAAGGAATAAAAATCATTCACGACTATAAACTTGTGCTTTAAATTGAAATTTGTCTAAGTTGTTAAATAAGATCAAATGCGTTATCTCCATTTTTACATTCTGTGATTGATGAGGTCAGGTGATCTAATGATAACGACTATAATACAACACACGATCAAAAAAGCAAACCAAAATATATGAACTAAAATGGCTGCCAATCGGAATAGCAATGCAAATCATGAACTGTCCTTGTGTCAGCCATGCTTGAATATGGATACAATAACAGATGCCAATATTTTTTGTCGAACTTGTAACGAATTTCAGTGTATGGATTGTTCAAAAGTTCATGAAACACACACCTTCCTGAGAAGTCACACATTAGTGGATGCGAATGATTCAAACATCGCACAAACAAAATTTGATATGAAAGGTATAGATCAATGTATTCTGCATCAGAGGGATTTAGAGTATTTTTGTGAAGATGAGGAAAAGCTTTGTTGCAGTACTTGCGCTATTGTAAATCACCGTAAATGTCAAAGTGTTGTAGACGTCAAGGCTGTCGTTGAGTCAGACCGTAAAAGGTCATATGCAAAGGTCAAATTACAGGAAGTTAAAGAGAAGGCAGAAAAAATTATAAATAACGTAGTCTGCTCTAAAAGGAAACTTGAAGAAGATGTTACAGACATACCAGTAAAAATAAAGAAAAGGCGGGATGAAGTAAATAAAATGTTCGACGAATTAGAAATGTCCATTGTTAAACAAGCTAAATCTTTACAGACAGAAACATTTGTAAAGCTTACAACAAAGCAGACACAGAACGAGAAGTATCTAGCCGATATAACAACGTGTCTAAAAACAATTGATGAAGTATATGAGAATGGAACTTCGATTGAGCAGTTTATTGTGGAGGAGAAAATGAAGGAAGAGATCAACTTACTTCACACAAATGTCGATGCAGAATGCAAAGGCTTAGAGACAATGACGGTAAACTTTGCGTTTGACGAAGTATTTAACCTGCCACCACTTCCTTTCGCTGATTATGTTTCAGGACAACTGAGTTTGAGATCACATCTGTCAGAGACTGCCGGCATTATAACACCTGTTGACAAAGCAATTAATATAACACCGGTATGCTGTGTTGATTTAAAGCAAAGTAAAGATGACGAAGGCGAACCGTTTTATACAGGGATAGATTTTCTACCAGATGGTAGACTAGTTGTTGTGGATAATACAAACAAGAAATGCCTAGTATACAATGAGAAGCTTGAGAAACTAGGATCATATCAGTTATCTTACAAGCCACTATCTGTTGTTGCCATATCTGATGAGGCAGTAATGATTACAAGTGGAAATGCATTGAGGTTAGACATTTTACGTGTAAATAAATCAAATCAGATAATTTTAAATAGAACAAAAATGGTAACCACAAAATATGACTCGATATGTGTAAACGATGAAGAAAATTTTGTCGGAGGAACATATGACCATTCAAGACCAGTTCGTATTATATCATTAACAGGAAATGAAAAAGATATCAATGCAAACTTCCCCAAAAAGATATATCCAATAGAAGCAAGTGCGTGTACTTATGATAGGAATACTGAGAAACTGACACTCACAGATAAATACGAGCATACTGTGTACATATATGATACCAAGACAAACACGAGAGTCGTGGTGAAGGATGATAAGATACAGGAGCCACGTGGTGTGACAGTTGGACCATTGGACACTATTTTTGTTTGTAGTAAAAACACACACTCCATTGTGCAGATTTCTCAAACCGGTAGAATCGTATCGTCACACAAGACGGATATGGAATATCCAAGAACAATCTGTATATCAAGAGACAAATCATTTCTTGTTGTATCAAACGCATGTAATGGCAAGAGAAAATTACAGAAGTTACAAGTAACATATTGATCACGTGAACAAAATTTAACTGCTTTAATTGTATGACAATATTATGTTAGCAGATAATCATGCTACGATAACTTAAAAAGTACAAAGTGTATTATATGTATAACGTCTAGTTTTGATATGAGTGACACTGAACCTTGATCGAATGTTATGTTGACCCAAAAAAGTATAAAATATATTAAAATTGTGACATGTAAATATCGGTTATAAAGAACTTTTATGAAACTTCAATATTTTAAGGTGGTGTGCTTTATTATTGCTCGTATGTATATATTGTATACATTTATTGTGATCAGTCGTACTTGATTTTTGTTTGTAAGGAAGGAGAAGACATTATGAGCACTTGATAAGATACAAATGCTCATGTTTACAAGCATTAATGTACGTGTGATTATCCTAGCATAAATGTAAATGATAGTTTGCGCATGCGTCCGGTATGTGTTCGCGCAGAATGTACGTGTGGGCGAGTGTTTGCGTTTGTGTATACACGTAACTAAACATGTGTAGGGCGACTGTGCCTATAGTTTCTATAGTTTTTGACTAGTCGTATTGTACCTGTGACAATATTGTTAAGTTTGACACTTAAATTGAATCACAATTATAATTTTATTTAGGCATAACTACATTTTGTAATTTAATTTAGAAATAATATTTGCTCCATTTATTTTTTCTTTTTACTTTTTTTGCAATCATGACAATATTTGGCATTGATGCTAAATTCATTATCATAAAAACTGTTAACCGATTGTAAAACATGGAAGCTAACAGAAAAGGCAAAGTGTGCTCAGTACCTGTCTTTCAATCTAGTTATAGTAGATTGTAGATAATCATGACATGCCCAGAGTTTCTTATATTGCACCAGTATGTAGTAGATCCAGAGAGATGCCTAGAGAGTTATCTAAAAACGCTCTTACATTTTATAACTTTTGAGTTGAAATCGAGGTTTTAATTTGAACATTATAAAAATGACACACCAATTTTCATCTTCTGTTACTGATAAAGAAGATCCAATAATTTCCAAAGTTGGTTGTCTTTTGATTCAGATAAAATGTTATCTTACCCATTCCGTCCCTCCCGTATTTAAGTGTAATATATATTACTGTCACCATTTAGAAGGAAAGAAAAACAATGTTATGTTTAGTTTGATTTTATTGACAAAAAAAGGAAATATATGTAAAGAGAGTTACAAAACAATAGACTAAGTATAAAATCTAACGTATATGGCAAAAATAATTGACTCACAAGTTCTTTCTACATTAGCAACGGGTCTTCCCTTATGTCAGTAAGTTACAAAACATGTTATTTAACAATGAATATTACTAAAATAGAAGTAACAAATCATTAAGATGTGTTGTACTCGACTTTGTTATGTTTGATAAGACTGTTTTATGATAAACACTATGCTTGCTGTGACCTGATGGTAAACAAAGAGTGATAACTATTATATAATTGTCATTTAAATCCTTTATTTGTGTTTTTGTTATTTCCCTTTGAAATAAAATGAAGAAAAATGTATTTGCTATCGAGTAGTTCATATGTAAAAGCATCTAAACTGCATTTTGATGTTATTCTTTTGCAGTTCAAGTTACATCAATGTAATACGTTAGGTTTTAAACATCGTATGTACCTTATCATTTTTATATAAATAAAATAAATAAATGAATAAAGAATAAAGCAGACACTGAACAAGACATATGTTCATAATAATATGTATATTAATTTAGATTCTAATTTTATTTCTAATGCAAATGGTACAATATACATACGTATATAGTTATATACATTTATTTATTTTGCAATATAAATATTATAGAGTTCGAACGAAATAATTTGCATTTAAAATGAACTTGTCTGAAAAATGTTTTTTTCTTAATTATCTTTATGATATTATATGACCTCCAATGTGGAAACATTTTTTACTCGAAGTGCTTGGTTCATAAAACATTTATAGAGGTCTACTGCGCAATGCTATACCATCAAAAAATAGAGGCATATTATGTATCAATAGAAAATCAAATCTTTAGATATGCTTAAAAGAGATTATTTTGATTTTTATAATTATCCACATTTAGAAGATAATGTACCTCATGCATCGTCATATGGAGTATATTTCTCTCAGTAAATTAAATTAGCTAGGGCGTGCGAGTCGTGTGGATGATTTTAATGAACGAAATCAATCTGTTACTAGCAAACTTCTTAAACAAACATATCGCTATCATAAATTGCGTAACATTTTTACTAATTTCTGCATTTTAATTCAGATTTAATTATAAAATTTGATTTTGATTTAACACTCTTTTACGATTATGTATTATGAAGTCTAATTTCTATGGAGATGAAGTTTATTAACTTCGTAGGTTCATATCTGGGCTTAGAAAACCTGTTAAAACTCCCTAGTAGTGTTAATTATACTACACATTTCAAGAAGGTACTATCTGTGTTCCTTCATTTGTTTAACATATGTGTATTGTTACATGTTTTAAATGTTTTCACTTTTTGAGATGTCTTATTTTGTTTAATTGTCGTTTACGTTATTTTCTTTCCATTTCCCATCGTATACAATTTTGTGCCTGCCCATTTCTACCTATTTTCCTTACACCCCTTGTCGCTTAACTTTTCAGTATTTGCTCCTTTTAGTTCTTATCATTTATCATTTTTCACTTATTAAATGCCCCTCTCCTGCTTTCTCCGCTCATGTGTCCTCTCCCGATTTTGGTTCGATGCCTTCTGGGTAGACTGCTGTTATGGCTGAATTGTGTCGGGGGCTGCGTTCTGTGAACGTCGTTTTTGCCTTGTTAATCTTTATTCTCATTTTTCATTTCCTATACCTTAGTCTAGTTCAAGCAAATGACTTTCGGGACCCTGGGTAGGCCAAATTTTGATATAAATTCATGATTTATATATTTTTTGTAGAAATATTTAAGTTGATGCTACATGTTAAATATCTAAGTTCTGGAAAAAAAATGAAATTGATACATAATGATTTAGTGTGACATTAACCTTAGAAAGGTCGTCACATTAATAAATTGACTCAATTTTGCCAGGTACATGTAGTCTCAATTTGCTTCAACCGGTTTAAAAGATACAGACAGGTCGCAAAACTCCTATATAAGTCTATTATACTCAAGTAGTCTCTTGGTTGGGCAAATTGTCACCTCAAAAAGCTCGATCCTATGTTCTAGAGTTCGTCGCATTATAAGTAATATATCTCTCAAATAGTTTTAATTTTTTTATCGGAACACAGAATGACGCCGCCTTAGAATGGTCAGCAGCTTATGCACTGCTGAGGAGTATAATTAAGTCATTGGTGCACCAAACCTCACTCTTTCTCCCAACATGTTCCTTTTTGGTTACAAAATGTGAAAATAAGTAAAACACAGAAATGATCATGTAAATACGTATAAAAGAAAACCAAATAAAAGTTCTTAATGTCATAAAGGAAGACTTCTTAACAAAGAAAGCATGAACAGCAAGAAAGTCACCTACAAGGGCCCGATAAAGAAAAAATCCCCAAAAAGAAGAATATTATTAATTCTCCCGCCACCTTCGTACTAGAGTCAAAACGCGTTTTCATGCTTCTGCAGATCTTAATACAGATCTGAATGCACGGAAATAAGTTTAATTAATAATTATTCTACTAAAAAAAGTCAAGTGATAAAATTTCATGTTTCTTTCATAACGACTGAAGAGCATGTGTGTGTATAATAATCGTCCTGCCTAGCTAGCAAACACTTCATTTACTTCTATGATAAAAGGAATTAGTACAAGAGGTTTCCTATTGCCTAAGTTATTATTACTCTGAAAACTTTATCTAATGAAATATTTGGTAACAGAAAATATATAGGTCACATCCTGTTTTTTAGTATTTATATATACTTTCATATAGTTGAACAATTATATACTAAACAGTTTCTGATGTTTCGTTAAACTGCAGTTTTTGTTTTGTTTTTGTTGTGTTTTTTTTTCGGATTATAATCATTAAACTGTTTTTGTAAAAACAAGATGTGTGGAAGTTACTGTTTGTTTTTTGCTCTTCTAGTAACATTTCCAATTTTTCTTAAAGCAGCAAAACAGAATTTTCGTTTAAAGAGAGAAGTTAAGTTTACTTTTTATTATCTTGCTTCAATTTTAAAACTTAAATAATGTTCGCCGTCTACTGCTGACTATGGATAAGCTTATAAATTGTATCTATGGTTTTTGCGTATTAGACGTTATAATCATTGGTATATAGCTCCTGACTTTGACTCACGCAGTCCGATAAGACAAAACATTGTCGTTGCCTAATTTCTAATTTTGATCAATTTTGTACACGATAATTTCTAAAACTAGAGCTGGAGAAAATAAAAATGTATGAGAAATAAAGAGGTAAATATTGACATCAGACATTAAATGGTCCACTAGGATTGTTACATACTAGTAAGCTTGTGACAACAGAACAGAATTAATCAAATCACTCTTAAACCTATGGGATTTTACTTAACGCTGCCGTTTGTAAAAATCAGCACTTATAGGTTGTAAAAATATTAGAAGGCAATGTTCTATTTATAGAAATGTGTGGCGGTGATATTGATTTTGAACTCATGGGTGGTGTTGCTGAAATTCGGCTAAGAACTGAAGTGAACAATGGCGTAGAATTTTACAGGTACTTGTTTTTGTCGAGTTATTCAGTTATCGTCATAAATTCGAGTTTTTATTTCTTTTCAAGAAGAAGAATAATGCTCTTATTTCTCGGTGCATCATTTTATACATGATATACATGTATATATAATACATTTCAGATTGATTCTTATCACAGCTTTTTAAAGGTGTTTTTTTCTTAGCTTTTTGTATAAAATATTTAATTTCGATATCTTCTTGAGTAAAATGTTATATTTAAAATCTTGCACGAGTCCCACTTCATACTGGATTAAAAAGAACCATACTGTGCCTAGTATTTTTTTTTGCTGTGGATCAATAACATTCAATAAACGAGTAATAAAAAGTAACAAGAATTTAAGATTATT